ACTTTGATCGAATCGTTGTCAATTAATTATATCATTTGGACATGCATTTTTTCTAAATTTAAAACTTAAATTAATTTGAATATTGTAAATTAGATTTTCAAACATTTATTAAAGCATATATATTTCCATAATTCGAACAGCAACATTTCAACCATCACAAGTACTGAATCAAGCTTGTAAATTATTACAAACCTTTTACCACAAACTAAGTACCTAATTCCACCCATTTCCAAATCATCACATGCAATAACATTTCAACTTGTCAATTCATTTCCTACACCTACGACAAATATTTTAATTTAAGATTTAGGTTAACTTCACTTATACAGTATACCTTACTCTCTAAGAAATTTAACATGAATTGAATAAATACACTACCAATAATCACCCCTACACCGTATGCAAGCTTAGAGTAAAAAGGAAGAAAAATTTAGTCCCAACAAAGTTCTTAAAAAGTATTCCGTGCTCATACAAACAAAAATTCAATGACTTCTATATAAGTGGGAAATGTAAATAATTCTTCGTCTGCAGCTTTTTCACAGACCATGAGGAAGTACATGTACATCGATCAACCTACAATTTGAAATTTCTTGAATGTTCTCAATTATTGATGAGGTTTTTAAAAATTATTTTTAGTATAAGTATTTGTTTTAAAAAAAAAAATTCTACTTTTGAAATTTGCGTTTCTAAAAAATATCCCCCTCTTGAAAATTTGTGTACGGTGAATTTGCATTACATGGGTTATTACTCAAGTTTGTTCTGCACCATAGCTATCCTAAATCCAGAAAAATAAAAGGATGCAAAATGATAGTTATAATACCATATCAACATGTGAAACAAAATTAATTGACTACGGATATCATCTTCATTAACTTGGTCGACAATCTTCATTTCTTAAGGACCTTATTTTATAAATATATTTTTTTAGAAATTAAAATGACTTTGATAATAATAATAATAATAATAATAATAATAATAATAATAATAATAATATAAAATTTTAAATAGTAAGACATGATTAAATATTCTTTAAGGTAGACATTATAATTTATTAGAATAATAAAACAGATTAATCTATTCTGTTTTAGTCTATTTTATTTTTATCTTACAAACTAATTTATTATAATTGTGGCGGATTGTAAACCTTAATTTATTTTGTCAGAAGATAAATTACTGAATTCACTCGTCATAATTTTATTTTAAATTAATTTATTTGTATTTTTAAATATTTTTTTAAAATTTAATAAAATTACCATTTATATATTAATAATTCAATATATATATTTTGAGTTAATAATATAAATTAATATATTATTTTTAAAATTTATAATTTAAAATAATAACAAAATTTATATAATAATAATCAATTTATAAAATATATATTTTTTATATTAAAAAAATCAAACAACTAAAAAAATTTATATTATATTTTTTTATTTAAAAAAAATGTATACCTTAAATAATTAGTACATCTTTCATTTAAATTACGAGAATAAGAATAATCTTATTCAAAATAATAAGCTGATTATAAACAATAAAAAAAACTTGTAATTGAAAAAAAAATGTTTTCTTCGAAGAAAATGAATTTTTTTAAATTTTCTTTTTAAATTTTTTTATCTTACGTTATTTTTGTGGTGTAATATTATAATAAAAAAACTTATTATATTATAATAAAAATATTTTTTTTGGCTACAGGCTAACCTGCCTAATTATTTTACTATCTAAAATTTAGTTCAATTATAATTATTTGGTGCAGTAGATATTTAAAATAATAAATGATGATATAAGTTTGTAGAAGGAGAGATTTGAAATGCGTTATATGCAAACTAGAGATCAAAAAATATGTATTGTTCACGTGGTGGCCCACACAATACAGCTGTCTTTGCTGTTTCTCTTCTCAATTTTCCTTTGACCAATCAAAGTGGCAGCCTGTAAGCTAACATGCTGTCCCCACCTCCCATTTCTCTTTCCTACACAACATCCCTTCCTACGAAATCAATAAATACTTACACCTAATTTTTTTTCACTCCTTATTTTCATAGACTATTTCATTACCTTAGAAATGAAAAACATGGATTAAACTTTAAAAAAAAAAATTCCAACTTTTGTTGCATGATAATCACAATTTCCTTAGCTCAATCATGATTCCTTAATTCTAAGGATTTCCAAATAATTATAACTAAAATTACACCATTTATCATTAAACACTGGTAAGAAATTAAGTATTAATAATAGGACATTATGATGCGGTGAAATGAACTAAGCATAAAGTTAGTAATGATGCAAACGGAAATGGTTTTGTGGTGCTTTTTGGGCTGTTACACTGTTTCTGACCACAGACAGAGACAACGCTATGATACTCTTCATCTCTCACGTTGTGCTGTGGTCCAAACCTCTTTCTCTCCACATTCCCACTTTTTAATTTCACGTGTCACTGGAGCATGATTTTTAAATATTTAGTCATTGTCGTCAATTGTGTTTTTTTTTTTCCTTCTATTACGTTGTTTTACAATTGTTTGTAAAAGCATAATTAATTAATTAATTATGCACAGATTGTTTTTTATTGCGAGCGCCAAATCAATCTCAGCCTCACAATTTCTCCTCCAAACACCTAATCATTTGATAAACAACTACACTATTTGGATCTGACAAAATCATAGAATATGATGTTGGTTTTGTTTTGGCTTGAGGCACTGTGTGAAAACTATACCTTGCTCTTTTGTTTCGATGTGCAAGATAATGCATTATGTGAGGTTTGGACTTTGGAGCCTTTGGGTGGGCCATTCTTTTTTCTATGTTTGCTTTTGTCGAATACATCTGTAGAGAGAGACTCACTAAATAAAAATGAACAGAGAATTGAAGCTGGCATATGCTCCTGGATATGCTTAAAGTTTATTTGTTTTTCGGGTTAGTATAGATTGGAACTTAAAGACCCATTTTTAATCCTTTAAAAGACTTAGTTATGCTTTATCCATACAGAATATGTTGTGAAAAATCTGTATCAGATATGAAATTGTGAAAATTAATAACAATTTAATAATGTAAATAATAAACAAAACTTTTTCCACTGAAAGATATTGATACTTCCTTTATTATAAATGAAGTATGAAGAATTTGAACGGGTCCAACAGATTGATTAATTAGTAAATCATATTGCTTAACTTTATTATAGCAATACTTTGTTTGAAATTGACATTAGCCATATCTGCTATCTGGGTTTACATAATTCACTTATTCTTTATAATATCGAGTTCCAACCACTAAAAATGATCTCATGATTTGGTAGAGGTGTAATTAAAAATTTGAAAAACGGTGCCGGCCTTAGTAAAAATATAAATAAAAGTTTGTAGGGGACTAATATTTGGCATAGACCTCTACATCCCAAAATGATAATTCCTCTCAACAATACAAACATTTTGTTTTTATGTTTGTTCAATACATGTTGGTACCTAGTACTAAGAGTCTATGAGGATTGAAGTTAGATCAAATTACTTTGTATATTTTAAATAACATAAAGTACAATTTTGATAAAATTCAGTCCATTTTTTTATTTTGTTCCTATAAGTATATATATAATTTTTTTTTTCAAAAGTCATAAGTAATAGAAAAAAGAAATTAACTTAGGGCTATAAAATATTTGGATGACAAGGTATTTAAATAAATGATAATGCAATCATTAAAACCTAGTGATTGTAGCTAAGTTGGCAAATCATGTGCTTATAATATATAATCAAAATTCATTAGTATACTTGTTTTTTCATTAGGGAAACTGGGTATATACACCACTCTTAACCGATCATGTAGTCATTCGTAACTTGAATAGCAGCTGTGGCAATTATTGTTACTACGGTAATTAAATAAAATAAGTAAAGGGTGAAAAAAAAAAGCACAATAGGCCAAATTTGAAATGAAGTTTGAACTTTTTGTTGAAGAAAAAGGACATAAAAAACTTGTAATGTTCATTATTGAAGTTCTGAAGTTGTTGGGGGTGGATTAGATGCCGAGGAAGTAGAATATGGCAGTGATTCCAGATGCACGATCCATCTGATTGCTAAAAAACAAGGGACCCGCTAAACTGATCCAAAGCAGGGATCAAATAAGAGATTAATTTTAATTCTCTTAATTTCTTGGTTAATATCCTTTTCCTATAAAGTAAACTTTATGCAAAGTATTATGAAAAGGTACATGTAATTTGCAATATTTGTGTTTTTAATAATAAACAAAAACAGTTTACCCACGTGCCAGTTGGTCCGCTGATAATACCTGTATTTAATTTTTGTTCCTGTGGGTCATCACAGACTCACATCAAAGTGCTTTATCTTCTCATCTCATTCATTATATTATCATCAATTTATTACAATTTCAGTACACATGAAATAACGGAACATTATAATCCAACCGTCGTCATTAACAAATTAAATATCATTAGAGTGCAAATTGCAATAGCTCCTTCTCTGCTCTGCGAACTATCCAGATACAGAAAAGATAAAAACCATTTTTCACTTATCTGCTACTGACGTGGCTCTTATCATCTCGGACACGTGTCAGTCTTAGGACGGCTACTACTGAAATGCTTCGCTGGCTGAAGAGCAAAGGGTATTGGTGGGGATATATCAATATCATTATATCCAATTCTTTTTAAACAAATAATAATAAAAAATACAAATTGAAATTGAGGAGGGAAAACTATTAATAATTTAAAATGAAAAACATGCCACAGGCTGTCACCAAGTAGGATTCTTTCTGTTTTAGATTAGTGTTTTTGAAAAACTTTCCTGTCATTTTTGGAAGTATTGTACATAATTTCGTAACATGAAAATCAAAATAACCGGGAACCGGCTACAGCCGGTGAAATCATAGGCAAGTAAGTCTCCAGTATGGGTATATAAGAAGCAAGGAAGCGAAAACCAGTGGCAGCGAAAACAGAGAGTGATTTGAGTGAGTGATCGGTGTTCACTTCATCTTTCGCCAGTCATAATCATCACCACCGTCGATTGAAGATGCCTATCAGAAACATCGCCATCGGAAGGCCTGAGGAGGCCACTCACCCGGACACGTTGAAGGCGGGCTTGGCTGAGTTTATCTCCACACTCATCTTCGTGTTCGCCGGCTCCGGTTCCGGCATCGCCTACAATAAGCTCACCGACAACGGTGCCGCCACCCCCGCCGGCCTCATCGCCGCCTCCATCGCCCATGCGTTCGGTCTCTTCGTCGCCGTCTCCGTCGGCGCCAACATCTCCGGCGGACACGTCAACCCTGCCGTCACCTTCGGCGCCTTCATTGGCGGCAACATCACCTTCCTCCGCGGTATCGTATACATCATCGCCCAGCTCCTCGGTTCCGTTGTGGCTTCCCTCCTCCTCGCCTTCGTGACCTCCTCCGTAAGACCGAACTTATTTCACTTAACTAACTTTTAAAATCAAAGTGTTTTTTGAACTAACAAGATGTTCGTTCCTGTGCTTGACAGACTGTCCCCGCATTTGCACTCTCGTCTGGAGTTGGAGTGGGTAACGCTTTGGTGTTGGAGATCGTGATGACCTTCGGTTTGGTGTACACTGTGTACGCTACCGCCATTGACCCCAAGAAGGGTAATTTGGGAATCATCGCTCCCATCGCCATTGGTTTCATCGTTGGTGCTAACATTTTGTTGGGTGGGGCCTTCTCTGGAGCAGCCATGAACCCAGCCGTCACATTCGGGCCTGCCGTTGTTAGCTGGACCTGGACCAACAACTGGATCTACTGGGTTGGGCCTCTTGTCGGTGGTGGTATCGCTGGGGTCATCTACGAGGTCGTCTTCATCAGCCACTCCCACGAGCAGCTCCCCACCACTGACTACTAGACCCAGACATGACAAAAATAAGAAAAAAAAAAAATTGTGTATTATTGAATTTCTCTTGAATCTTCTTCTCTGTATGTTTTTTCCTTGTGTTTTTCTTTATTCCTCTTTCGCGGGTTGTTCCTTTCGTGTTGAATCGGTGGTGGCCGTTGATCTTTGGTTGGATGGTTGATGCTCATGATGTTCTCTTTCAAGTTAAATTATTACCATTTGTGCATGCTCTTTCTCTCACCTGGTCCACCATTGAATGTATCATTATTCGGGTCTGGTTGGTTGTACCATTTGGCTACTACTTCTCTCTTTTACTAATTTTATGCACAATTCTCGTTTAACAACCCTAAATTTGTTTTTCATTGTGGGAAAGGACAATCTGTTCAGAGAAGAAAATTGAAACAAAAATAAAATGAAAAACTGTTTATCATGCTATACGACAAAGAGTCTTAATGAGAGAATCGTTGAAGCACACCCAACAAGTGGGTCCACCAGTGTGGGTGGGTAATTCACTTGCTCAATGAAGACGTACAAGTACCGACCTCATTACCAGACAATTAAAAGCGAGGAAGAATGATTGCAGAGAGTCGATGGAGAAAGGAACCAAACCAGATTCAAGTGTACCATATCGCTACGCATCGATCTCTCATTAGTGTTATATGTGGTCATTATAGTTACAAACTTGTTTGGGAATGCATCCTTCAGAGGCTTTCAGCATGTGGAGATGTTTTTATTTTCTTGAAACCTTGAATATCTAATACCGTGGAGAATTGGATAAACGCGAGGTTCTTATATTGTAAAAATAGAAAACAAACATACAACAGGATATTTTATATTTATTTTAAGTTATCACTATATGTTTCATCTTCCACTGTGTTTTTACCAAAGGAATACAGTGAGATAACTTTTACCTCCTTTTCCATAAAAGAAATATCAGGAAGTAGGTGATTTAACAAGGAGCAATGGTAGAGAGTTGTAGAAGATTGTAAAGATATTATTTTAGTATTTCAACAGGCATGATCTAATTGGGATAAAATGAAATAAATGGCAGCAAGTTGTGACAGACATGGTTTTGGTAGTTTTGTCTTCAATCCGGGTGTGTAGAATGAGAGATGGATGCTGTTGATGAAATGGGGTATTATGCTGTCATGCATATATTTACATCAATGATGATATGACCAGACAGCACAGCACGTGAAAGAAAGCGTTGGAAAGACTAGCATCCAAACCAAACAGGCCATTCACTTTATGTATTCCACACTGTCATGTTGTGTATTCCACACTGTCATGTTGTCCCCTCCTACCCACTTTTTCAGTAAGCAAAGGGAGGCAATGGTCCACTCCCTCAACACCACCACAAACCTAAACCTCTTACTTGTTAGCCCATATGCTACAATGCTGTTACCAATTACTTTCTATTCTGTAACCATTTTAGGATTTGTTTGCTTGGAGTGATTTGAGGGAGTGGAAATGAGAGAGTGGAAAAGGAGGGATTTGAAGAGAAATGAAGATAAAGTTAAAGTTGTTTGGATGAATGGAAAGTGAAAGGAAAGTTTATGGAAAATTGTGAATGATTTGATTGATATGAAATATAAAAATTATAATTTTAATTGATTATTTAAAAAAATTACCATTTTACCCTTTGTATAAAATAAGGTTCAAATGATTATAAATATAATTTTTTAATTAATTATCCATATTTTAACATTGATTATATATTTAAAAGAAAAAAAAATTTAAAAGTGTTTGTAATTGGAAACAAATTTAAAAAATTAACTTTTTTTAGATAGTTATTAAAAATTATATAAATAAACAATTACAAAATTATTTACATTGCATATCCATATTCAAATAATGTTGACATATTAAAAAATAAATTTTACTAATAATTAAATAATTATAAAATATAAAATAATAATTAATATAAATATAATAAATTAAAATATATACTCAATTAATAATAATAATAATAATAATAATTTAAAAATTGTAAAATTACAAATATTTATATATGTATACAAAACAATACATAAAAAATATGGTAAAATTAATTTATTACAAATATTTATATATATATATACACTTTTAAGAGCGGTTACAAAGATAACCGCTCTTAAAAGTAACCTGTGATAACGGTTATATGATAACCAGCTATCTAAAGTTTTCAAATGATCGATTATTTTGCCAAAATGATCGATCACTTTTCCAAAACCTCGACACTTTAGATAGCGGTTCACCTGGAACCGCTATCATATGTTCACATCTGATAGCGGTTCAGGAATAACCGCTATCTAAAGGCTCCGAGAATTTGAATTTATTTTAATGTATAATTATATATATATATATATATATATATATATATATATATATATACAAATTCTAAAATATATTTTATATTAATTACTATAATATAAAATATATATTCCACAATATTACTAAAATTTATATATATATATTATAGAAATGAAAATAAATTATATTTGAGAATATATAATTTTGATAGAAAATTATATAGATATATATATTCTAAAATATAATTTAACATTTTGAATTACTGAAAGGTTTTCTCTAATAACAAATTAAAAAACATAATATTCAAAAAAAATATTTTATTAGCGTTAGATTTATTTTAATCGATTAAAACATGTTTTAATCGATTAAAACCACTTTGGAAGTCAGGATGATCGATCAGAATGAAATTATGACCGATCAGAATTGGTTATGATCGATCAAAATTAAATTATGGCCGATCAGATTTATTTCAATCGATTAAAGCGAACTTTCAATCGATTAAAAAGACTTGAAAATTTATGTGCAGATTTTCAATCGATTAAAACGACTTTATATTAGCTAAAATAACTTGGAAAGTTTTATAAGAAAGTTTTTTTAGCAAATCAATCGATTAATACGCGAATCAATCGATTGAATTACTCTTTGAAAATGTTTGTAAAATGTTTTAACTGATAAAAATGTGGTCGTATCAGCTAAAACAATTTTGTTAAAGAACAAGAACGCATTAATGGGTTGAAAGGACTTTTAACAGATTATAACGGCTATTTCAACAGATTAAAACAAACTTTCAACAGATTAATTAATGCAGCTTTTTCTGAAAACTCTTTTAAAAACATATTTGCTTGGAACTTTTTATATATCAGTTTTCATACAAACTAAGCAATCAATTGAAGCAACTGTTAAGCATCCTTTTCCAAGAAAGATTCGTAACTGCTTTGTGAACTTCTTTTGAAATCTTTCTTGAGGCACTTTTGCATTCTTTGAAGGAGGAACTTACAGTAGATAAGCGTAATCCGGTTTGAGCTTTCTAAGTTTCTTCTTTTCAATTGCTTTTCATTTCTTTGTATTGTGTTGTACCTGGAATTTGGGTACAAGTTTTCTGCAGCTGGTAGGTGGTTGTAGAAGTTTCCAAGAACTGAAATTTGGTTCTTGGTGGAGAGGTTGAGTACAGGAACTGGAATTTGGTTATTGCGAAAAACTTTCAAAAATCAATTCACCCCCACTCTTGATTTAAAACTACTTTTCTAACAATAGTCTCGCTCGAGCGAAATACCATCCTGATCGATCATAATTTCAAATGATCGATCATAATTGGAGGATATCATAGCGGTTCCTCTGTAACCGCTATTTAAAGTATATATTAGATAGCGGTTATGGTTTAACCGCTATTACAAGTTGTATTTCGCTTGAGCGACATTAAACTCGCTCGAGCGAAGACACCTGCACATAATTTTCATTCTCGGGTTGTTTTTCGCTTGAGCGAAAATGTTCTTGCTCGAGCGACATCCACATCTTTCGATTATGATCGACTACATTTTCAAATGATCGATCATATATGAAAATATATAATAGCGGTTAAAGTTTAACCGCTATTAGAAGTGTTATTATAATAGCGGTTAAGATTTAACCGCTATCATATATTGCATAAAACTCCATGGCCACCGTGGAGAAGAACACAACACTGAAGATGGAGAAAGAGGGAGAATGAAACTCCGATAACAGTCCAGAGGGGAAAACATAGACGCTGATTTCTTTCTTTTTGGGATGCACTGTGTGTTCACATGCAGGAGATGGAGAAGGGTAAATATGTCATTTATCAGTTGCTGATGTGGCTTTCTCTGCTATCCTCTCAAATCCTCTCAAATCTTCAGGGTGAGCTTTCCTTCCCTCTCCCTCAAATCCGCGCCTGCAAATCCTCTCATATCAGTTGCACCAAACGAATTGAATCAATCATTTCTGTCTTCGTGAACAGTAAATCAGTTCAAATAAACACAGACTTATAGTTTTTGACCTAATTCTATTTAAAACCATATAAAATGGCATGTAGACACGTTGACTACACTTGCAAAGTTAATTGGATGTTACAGAACCTCTCACTGTCCAGAAAAACAAAGTAGTTAATATCAATCCTTTCCGGTGATGTATGCTAATTTGCAGCTATATATCTTTGACTCCGGAGGCTTCACGTATCTATTTGATAAACCAAGCAGTTTCACTTCACTTAACATTAATTTATGGTTACATACAGTAAATCAAGGGATTACTAACTAGGCTTTTTATGGAACAGATTTAAATATTACAGCAAATAGAGACGCTTTTTTTTATTCAATCATTAAACATCTCATAGCACATATCAATATCATGTGTAAAGGGGAACCCTATGCATGTGCCTAACCACGTTAATTTATGTTAATCATTCCGCGTTTGTGTTAATTCTGCGTTGGCTCCGTTACAATGAATAAGACAGGAGCCGTAGATCACTAAACATTGTAGGGATCCTTATTCTTGTGTTTCACATGCAATGTTAATAGACAAATTTAAAAAGCATAAAACATACCATTCTCAATAATTCTTTTGGTGCTGTTCGTGATTTCCGCGGTTTCTTTATTGTGTTACCATCCCAGCATTGCTTTTTGTTCTGCATGCCTCAAGACAGCTGTTCAGTTTGTTTCGAGCGTCAAGCAATTAATTTGAAGCAATAAACGTAAATTTTGTACTACTAAACTCACAAATACAGTTTAACTTTTAAACAGAATTAAACTTTGAATCTGGTTGTTGGGTCTTCTCTGACAAGAAATGTAAAATACTAGGTGGGCCTTGCAATGATTAGTGTGCTTTCCCACTGGTTTAGTCATTAACTAATGTGCCAAAAATATTTTATTCACCTGTTACTAATAATCTCAAAATTTTTTGGCCCAAAATTTGAAATGGGATTGTTTCACCTACTACTAATCTCAAAGGACAACCAACATTCTCTGTCAAAGATTCGTCGTAAGCTGGTATAACATTGGTAATTTGCGCGCACAAAATATAAAAAACTGGAGTACTTACAACGATTCGAGTCATTGTTGTTTGTAAGGATCTAACGTTCTTGAAGTCCTAATTATCAATTAAAGAAATAAGTAACATTTAATGATTATGAACTTATTATAAATTATGTCTATATATAATTTAATTTCTATCATACTTTTATTAAATGACTAAATTTTTTTAATTTCTTGAGTAAAATTATTTTTAATGTTTATTCTTCCAATTTTTGCTCACTATAGTTTAAATTACTTTTGTGTTTTCATATTTAAAATTATAATCTTATTCTGAATGATTAGGGATTTCTTAGAGCGGTCAAGGCGTGAAATACGAGTTTGCTTTCTTTCTTTCTTTTTTCAAGAAATTTAGTAATTGCAAAGAAATTTAAAAGAAACAGGGAATGGAGTTATGGTTTTCCCTTTATTCAACTCAGTCAGCAGCATTAACTGCATATTTGGGTGCACCTCAAACAGTGCAATAACTCTGAAGACTTTTGCAGTCTGAGCAACTCAGACTCATAATGCATTATAAATGATTTGGAAGACATGTGACTATGTATATAAACTTTCTCAACTGGTGCCACTAAAATATCTCATAAGTTAATAATAGCAAATTGTTATGTTGATTTAAGAATCTACCTATAAAACTGCTAATTTTTTCTTAGCAAAGGCAATCAAGAGGACATTAAAAAAAACACGATTTTATGATGAATGGCTACTTTTCAGCAAACAGTTTATTGATGATTAAAAACAAAATATTCAAATGATGTTGAGTTCCCATGAAAGATAGGAGTACTTGTGTCTAAATATAAAAAAAGTAATAAGGACAGAGATCTACCACTATTTTCGGAGGGACATAAAATGTAGATGGAATATATGGGGTGAATGAATTAATGCAATTGAATAAAAACTTCAGCATTGATTTGCCAGGGTTGTTGGGCTTATATCTTTTTTAAGAAACTCCTTTTTTTTTTTTTTTCAGAAATTATAAATAAAAAATCTTCAAAAGAAATTGTGTTCGTGAAAAATGGTTTTTCATACTTCACTTTCTACTACAACAGTCAACAACATTATTTTCTTATAATTTAAATGCGTTCTTAACTTCTAGACTGTAACATAAAACTAAGTATAAATTCCAAACTGAGAGCTAAAAGCCTCTTACCAAAAACTCTCCTTTTAATTATATATATATATATATATATATATATATATATATATATATATATATATATATATATATATATATATATATATATATTTATTTATTTTTTTGTTTTCAGCAGGCGGGTTTTGCCTCACTCTTATTTCCCATTTTTTAACCTCTTCTTGATTTTCTTGATTTTAATTATTTTTTATGTTAAGAATTAAGTTTCCGTTCTGTTATTTCTTGGATTCCTGTTTTTTTTTCTTGATTTTTTTTAATAATTATATTTATAATAAATTAAATTAGTATTTTGTATATATTAAAAAAATAATGAAATACGTAGAAACTATATATATAAAAAATGTAATAAACAGATTAAAAAAAGATAAACAAATAAAAAATAAATTTTAAAAAATAAAGAATACAAAATATAAAAAATTATCTTATATATAATATAAAAGAAAAAATAAAATACTTTAAAAATATATTTTAAAATTTAAATTTAAATATAAAATAATAAATTGAAATAAAAATTATATTACTCACACATCCCCAACTCCAAACTTTTTAAAACAAAAAAACTCACTCACTTACTTTCAATCAACTCAACTACTAAATTCTTCTTAAAAAAAAAAAAAAACTAGAGACAAAGACGGACGAGTTGAAAGATTTAATTGTATCCCTTCTTTCCAACCCCTTTTGCTAGAGTTGGTCTAGCATGTCGTTGAATTTAGCAAAGAGAGACTATAATAGCCTTTTCACAAGCAGAAAAATGATAAACAACCATGTTTACAAAACTACAACCTACATCGGGGCACTATAAAACTAGAACAATCCCTAAGGACTAGGACTTGATAACGGATAATAATTTTAAGTCATTGGACATTTACGCATATTAAGATTTTATTCTCTCCTCAATGTCAGATTTTCTTCCTCGGTTGGAAGATATCCTTCCTAAAAAAAGCATGCAAAAGGACACCACAATACGCAGAAAGTGAACAAACCTAACAAGGTGCATTTTTAGTCACAAAAATCTGGAACACATAACTGAGGGTGACAATCAACAGGGAATAAAATTCAGGATTTATTAGCGACGTTATGAAAAACAACAACAATTCAGAAACATTTGAAATCTATTGCCTCTATGTATCTCTAATAGTATGAAAACACTGGCTCTTTGGAAAACTCATGATGTCATTCCTAATTATTGCAAAGAAATGACGCAGTAATTGTGATAAGAAAAAAAAGAAGAAGCAAATTGATTTTATAATACACCCATATTATTTTTTGCCTCATTTGAGACTTGCCCTCTCATTGCCAAAACTACAAGTAATCAAGCCGTAACTTTCTTGGATGTGACTGAATTGACAATGGTAGCAAACTCAGGACCCTGCACCTCAACAACATCAACTTGTAAGTATAACTAATAACCTCAGTTCCTTGACTCATGCTGTCATTACATTGGTCAAACAAAACATGTGTGTGTACCTTCAATGAAGCACCTCCAACGAGAAATCCATCGATATCTTCCTCCTTTGCGAGCTCTGCACTGTTCCCTCCATTTACAGATCCTGAAAACAGATCAATTTTAAAAAAGGGTATCCAGATGTTGCTGCTGTGCTGGAAAATTTTTACATTCAAATAGAACTATATTCTCCAGTGGTCAAATATACTGAACCTAAACTAATTTGCAATCGATAAGGTCAGGGACAATCTTACTGTTAACAAGATATTTTATGCACAACTTTACACCAATTAAGTATATCATCTATGACTGAATGACATGCAGTTCATTGATTGTGAGAATACATGATTTCGTTAAGTTCTTACAAAATGCATCATAAGAAAGGTCACACATGGAAAATAATGAAGGCGGTTGCAAAGTTTATTTTCTCGGCCGAAGAATACATGACATTATATAAAGCATGTAACTTTATTAAATGGTATATCTTAAATTTCCATAATACTGTCATAAAGTTCACAATACAACTACAGGTACAAAAAACGATTTACCTCCATAAATAATTCGCGTTTTGGATGCAACTTCCTCTGAGACATTCTTTTTCAGCCAATCACGAACAGCTACATGTACTTCCTGAGCTTGCTGGGGAGTGGCCACTTTGCCGGTTCCAATGGCCCACACAGGTTCATAAGCAATAACAATATTGTCCCAACTAGGAACAGCATCTGCATATAATGAGATATGTTAAGCAATCAGAAACCCCTCTCTTTTGTTTTTCCCAAAGAAAATGGATTTTAAATGGATTATACAGGAAACATAGCTTGCACCTACCAGCATAAGCCTTCAATTGCTTAAAGCAAACATCAAAAGTTTTCCCAGCTTCCCTTTCTTCTAACAATTCTCCAATGCATGCAATCACTCCAAGACCCTGGCTCAAAGCATAGGCAGCTTTCTTTCCTATAAACTGGAGGCGACAATATTTGGTTAATTTCTAAAATATTTAGCATCGATTGCAAATATACTGATAATATTCTCTAGCAAAGCTATTGTAGAAATTATTTCCGAATTTGCTTTACCTCATCATTTTCTCCAATAATATGTCTTCGCTCAGAATGTCCAAGAACAACCCACTTGCATCCAAGATCTTTCAGTTGTTCCGCACTACAAAAGTCAAATTTCAATTTAGTGAATTAATTAACATGTTAAATTATAGTATAGTCGAGGAGCACTAGAAAATAATAACATATTTTCTTTAAACATCAGAATCACATCAAAAACAGCAGGAAGGACAATGTGAACATAGGTTAAAAGAAACATTATCTGCAATCATCCAACTGGCCAAAAATTATAATTCAAAAAACAAAAAGGAAACCGCTAAATTAATTAACACCTGACAGGAAAGAGCAAGCTAACCTGATTTCCCCAGTGAAAGCACCACCTTTTCCCACCCAAGAATTCTGGGCAGATATTTCAATCCGGTCAGTAAGTGAGTTTTTCACTTGATCGATGTACAGAAAGGGAGGTGCAACAACAACATCTGTACATCTCAAAATGGAAACGCTTGTGATGACCAAACGTAAAAGGTAACTTTCAAGGTTATTAAGAAAGGGTTTTGAACATAAACCATGTACTCAGTATAATTTTTTGGGGTCTAGAAAAGAAGGAACCTCTCCAATTGTGGATCATATGTGGCAAAATCTACTTATGCTTTGAATCACATCAACACAAACAGCTCATGTCAAACATATAATGCATATGGAGCTTATAGTGCATGTGCCCAAAATCCCAATAAGGAGCCATTATCTATAGTTTGGTAAGGTCCATGAATCATGTTGGTGGGTTCCAACGTACAAGGAAATTCTCAGTAAATGACCCATATTTGGAAGGGGGTTCCATGCATTTTGCTACTTTTTGATACTGAGAATGACCAAGAGAGAACTATGTCCAATTCCTTAAGACAAATAATTTGAGCATTACAACCAGAAAATATATTATTATTTTATCAGCATTTTGTAACCAAAACCCAGATGTGACAGTACATTAGCATTGGGAGAAAAATTCATGTCAAAGAATTATTTTAGGTTTTAGGAGTCGGAAGAAGCATAACAATGTTTTTTTAGACTTCTACAGCTTTTATCTAGAAACACATAAATAAAGAGTGAACATGTCTCACCAACATCAGGCTCCAATTTCGCACTGTTCAAGTCAGCGACAAGCTTACTGATGGAATCTTTTGTTCCGTTCTAGAGCAAACAACAAAAGTAATAAAAATCAGATAGAGATATATGCAGAGGGAACTGAATCAGTAATTGATTGAACTGTGAGAACTAATGCTTCATGTGCAATTATTAGTGGTTTTTAACAAAAACTACTGAACAATAAAAAAAGGGCCTGTTTCAAATAACCGGGTAAGACTGTAAGAGAATAATTTCATTATTTTACACAAATAAATAGGTAGACGGAATAATTTATGAACTATGAAGGAAATTCTTCTTACAGTCAGATATGATATGACAAGAAAACTGTTTATTTTTTTAAAATTTAAGACAGTAATCATCCAAATTTGCCCTGCTCCACACAGTGATCAAGGGGAAAGAAAGAGTCCCTTTAGTACTTTAATGTAGAATGCATTCCTTAGATATAAGCAAGGTGTATGGCAGATGGAAAGAAAGGGTTGCCGGATAATAGTGCTCAAAATAAAAATAAAATAAAAGCTAGAGCAAAGGGTTGAAATGAGCTCTATGCTGCTGCTATTGCTAGAGGATGCTAAAGAAAGAGGCAAGTCACAGGACATACGTTGCAAAGTATGGTGAGTTGAACCAGATGCATAATCCAAAATCAATAAGGTTAGTACTTATAAAGGAATCGTGATAACAAAGGTTATTTACTCTAAACCAAAACATAGGACGAGAGTTATTGGCGCATAATTTACATTCCAATAATGGGCTGGTATGCTAAAATGAAAAATATAAAATTCATCAACCACTCAAGTATTGAATCACCAGCAATAAACATTGCATTTTAACAATAATAGTAAAAAAAAAAACAGTTGGACGGAAAGATACTTACACACTTCCAGTTGCCACCAACAAAGAACTGCAACAACCAAGTGAGGAAGTAAAAGATCAGTACACTAAATGGCAAATGGATAGCCAACCACTAAAAGATAACGCAATATATAACCAAAAACTAAAAATTGAAAAACCCCCGGCAACTTAGTGGTTAATAGGCTTAGGTAGAATTGCATAAACCCCATCCAATCCATTGAGGAGAAATACATTCCCCACCGAAATCACAGTGACAAGTTTATTTAACGATCAAGGGTAACGAAAACAAGAATAAAGATGATTTTTTTTTATAAAAAGAATAAAAGAAAAAGCAAAAGCACCTTGCCAGAGCCGGCCATGGCGACGATGGCGCGTGAGGGTTTGGGAGGAGAGAGGGAAAGGCGAAGATTTGGGTCGAAGGCAGAGAAAGATGGAGAATTGAAAGAATCGAGCTTGGGGCAAGGGCGCCGCAGGCCAATGTAGAGTTGAGAAACCAGTGATGCTGAGGTTGCTGCCATCGGAGAAGAAGAACAAAAAGCAGTGATCTGTGGGGGTTGGTGTGAAGTGTGAAGGTAGGAAGTAAATTTGAAGTTTTGGATTAGATTTTGGTTTCGTAGTTTGGTGTTTGGTGTTTGGTGGTGAGAGAGAGTGTAGCCTTTTACCGTTGTGCTATTTTATATCCCCACCTACCAAGTAAACAAGGGAAAAAAAGGTAGAATGGCATGGAGAGTGAAATCAACACTTACCCTGTTTTTGGTGTTGAATTGTGAGTAAAACCATGTGGTCCCTGCACATGAACAGAGAGAGTAACCAGGTCCAGGAACAAGTCTCTGTTCACGCACAATCTATGATGGCCATCCAACACCACCAGATACCAAAAATAGAATCAAATATATCTTTCAGGGAACTTTTATTACGTGATCACAAGAAACTAAATCTATAATCTTTTTAATATAATACATTATATTAAAATTTAAACAACTTTAATATTTAGAGTTAATTAATGACTGACTTAAAATTTTAATTAATCTTTTAATATAATAAATAATAATGTATTAAATTTCTTTAATACCCCTACATTTCTGCACTTTGACAAAAACATGAAAAGAAGAAGCAAATAATTGATTCATATAAAATAAGTTATCAATATAATTAATGATGCAGAGCTTAAAAATAATCAGAGAGAAATAAAATGAGTTGACAAAATTTTTGCTATGAGGTTAATTATCGATGTTAAAAAATTAACAAACCAAATTTTTTACAAAAATGACACAGTAAAATATATTTGAAACTATAATAATATCAAACATTATGTTTTTTAGAAATTTTTACACTAATATTTTCTTAGTCAATCTTATTAGGAAACAAATTAGTATTACGAAAAAAAAATGTAAATGCAATCTCATTTGGATTTATCAAATAGAATACGTTCAAAACCATTGTAAGTTTAAAATGTTACAAGTTTAGAAATCATCACTTCCCTCTGTCGCGTGTGTGTATATATGGTTTACGTATATATATTTTTTAATGCATAAAAAAAAAATATGGTTGCATTTCTTTCCTTCGTAGAAATTAAATAATGTAACATTTCTTCCCTCTTTTCAGCTTCATGAATTGCTGGTACCCCTTCTTATTACCCTTTTTATATGTTGTTTTTCTTTTTTTCAATATCTCTTTTTTGGTTTTTTCTTCTACACTTTTTTACTAAGGTCGACAACTTTATTATTCTACATGTACTATCCATCTCTTTGACGCCACGTGGCTTAACTTAAATGTAACACTATCAAGATAAAGTGGGGTCATACCAAAACTTGTGGTGATGAGTATGATCGTTAAAATGCTGAATTGTTGAGTAATAAACTCGAAATTTAGAAGTTATAAATAATATTTTATTATATTTTATAATATATTTAGACATTTGCAATTTCAAACGTAATGCATAAATGAAAATATATAATCAATACATATTGGATTTTTCTAAAGATAATTAGAATAATAATTCACCACTTAAAAAAATTTATCAAATGAATTCATTTAAGACAAACAAATTATTAAGACACATTGTGTTTGCAACTAATCAATTTAAAGGAGTGGAGATGAGTAGATATAAGGGAAAATAAAAGTAAAAATGAGATTGTTTGGATTAATATTATATTTGGATTAAATAGTGGATTTGAAAGATTAGAAAAGAAGAGAAAAAGAGTGGAAAATAATATTTTTTAGATAAAGAGAAAAAAATATAAAACAAAAAGAAATGAATGAAAAAATTAAAAAAATAAAATTAATGTGATTAAATAAATAAATAATAAGATATAATATATATTGAGTAAGATATCTTTGAAATTGATTTTATTGTAATTTTAATTTATTGACATTATGAAAGACTTATTTTAAATTATTTTAATAATTATTTGCTAATTTTTTTCCAAATATTTAACACCGATAATTATAGTGTAACTTAAAATTTTGAATTTATAAATCATAAGTCCTTTAATTTTATTATTAAAAAATTATTAAAAAACTAACTAAACATAAATTTTATAATTATATTCCTTATCTTATTCTATAATTTTAAAAAAATAATTTAAGCTTAATTTTTTATAAAAATATATAATAAAAAAAACAAAAACACATAATCAATCATATACTTCTTTTTAATCTATTAGTAAGAAACACGTAATAGTATAATCCATTATATGAATCTTTATAATTAATTAAACCCTCTTTTATAATCAACTACCAATAATCAATTACAATTTATACTAAAACATGACACAATCAACAGTAAGATTTGTAATTGAATTAAGTTCACACAATTAAATTTACATATTCAATTATTTAAATCATTCAACAAATCATATAATGAAATGTACTAGAAAACTTATTTTATGTAAGTGGAAGAAGTCGTGATAGCTCCTGTAATTGAATTATCCATCCTTGCCAACCTTAATTACAATTTTCTTTTTTAGTTGAGTCTGTACGAGTGAATGCAGGAGAAACAATTTTCCTATAAGTCTATTTATAGATAAAAATGTGGGCTGCTTCAATACTCCTTCAATGAATAAACACAAACTCTCTCAACGTTGATTCAACGCGCTAGGACAATGCTCTGGCCCAGGGTTCAGAGAAAGTTTACGTTGAATAATAAATGTGAGAGTTGCAGTAATAGGTAATGTAACAGTAGGTAGTATATATATATATATATATATATATATATATATATATATATATATATATATATATATATATATATATATATATATATATATATATATATATATCATCAATCATTATATTCTCATATTTCTTATTTAGTATTTTAGGTTTAATTATTTATTATTAGTAAATTTTATTAATTAGATTATATATTTGTGTTTCTCGTAGAAATTCGATAGATTTCTATTAAATCAGATATTTGGATTCTAACCAAATTTCAATTACGTAGATTCTTTTTACTTAGATTAGCACACGGTTTTCAATCAAAACATGCATGAGAATCGAAAATCCCATAGTATCGAGAAACGCTAGCAATACAACCTAGCGTGCGGATTGATAATCGAAAGCACTATTTTTGGTATTTGTTAAGAAACGCAAAGTAAAGAAACCAACAAAGAGTATCGAAATGAGAAACAGTGCAGAATATTAAATTGCAGAGGAATATAAATGACAATAAATTGAAATTGCAACAATGTAGATGACGAAGAACTTAAACGTAGAATTTTAACTTGCATAAATACAAAATGACAAGGAATTGAAAGTGCAGAAACTTAAAGTTGGTAAACGTAAATTGCATGAAAGTAAATTGCAATGAACATAAATTACCAGGGAAAGTAAAGAAAGCGATAAAGACAATCAACGATAATGGAAACCCAGAACATTAGAAACTTCATGATGCGTCGTTCTCCTGTAGACTTTTCACTAGTGTTTCTGTCTTCTCTGCCAATTTCCTCCTTTCCTTCATTCTTCGCTCTATTTATAGAGCCTACTCCAGGTAACCTCCTGAGAGCAGTTAACGAAAACTGCTACCACGTTCTTCGTGCACGTCCCTTAAAGTTTTACTTTTAGTTCTACGGTTTTAGAAAACTGCTTCCACGTTCCATACGCGTTTAACCGGTCCTCAATTTATAACTTAGCCATAATTTTGATAGCCATGTAGGTTAACCTTTTCCTTGATCTCGATTTCAAATCTCGAGAATTTTGAATTGCTTTTGATTCCCCTTAACCTTAACATTACACTTGATTCTAATTTCTTGATTTTCTTCAACAATAGACATCAGATATTCTTCCTTCGATTCTTGATTCCAATTCTCGATTTATGTGTTCATACATACTCGTGGTCATCGAATGTCTTCCAACCATTTTTCCGATTTATCAATTTTTTATCCAATCATATGATCCTCGATTTTCTTTCCTTCGCTTTTCGATCCTTGTATTGATTTTTTTACTAACAAAATGCCCCCTTGGAAGAATATAAACATTTGTACCAATTTTATATTCTTTCAAAAATAAATCCAGCCCTTTAAACACTCTTGAAGCCCAAAATAACTTTTTAGGGCTTGAGCCTTTCTAGGGTTTTTTAGGGTTTTTCAGGGTTTTGCTGTTTTATGTCAAGTATCAAATCACATCACCTTCCACTATCATAAATGCAAACGTCACGTATTAATTACCCTTCTCTCATATTCGTCGTTTCAAATACCCTAGTTGGTCTTTTCAAATACTCCAATCAATTTTACCCTTGTTTTTTACCAAGAACCTAACCCATCTTCTTTCTTCGTCACACCTTTTCTCCGTCTTTACCCTTTCCACAACTGTAATGGCGACTTCCAAATCTTCCGACTTCTCCACCCCACCACTTTCGTCGGTAACTTCGACTCTAATAGAGATAAACGGTAAAAAGTTTGCTCCAGTTCCCTTGTTGGAAGAAGCTTCGCAGAAAATTGCCGAGACACAGGTACTTATCCCTTACGCAGTTGATAACGTAGATTATGCATTTGGTGGTCCTATCCGCTATTGTGGTGGATCGTTTTCCTCTTCTATCTGTCTTCCTTCAGAGAGTAAAACCCTTATTCATAAATCCGAGGTACAAATTGATTTTCTAAATGTTGTTTCTAAAGTATATCGAACGGGTCCTCCCCATAAAAAGCCTTTATACATCAGATGGTTTGATAGAGTAAAGACCAAGTTTAGGAATCACTAGAGAGATGTAGGGATTTTCAATTTTCTACACCTATCTCGATGCGATCTATCATTCTTGGATATGTCTATATTTTTATCCGCGGTCCATTTATGGAATAAAGATTTACACGCAATGGAGTTTCCCTGTGGTCCCCTTTCTCCCACTCTTTTTGAGGTTGCTGCAATCACCGGATTAAAGCCCACAGGGGAAAAATATTTTAAGAGTGTTTTCCCTTCAGACGACTCTCTCAAATAAAAAATCGATTGGGATTCGAAAGCCTATGGACACTTCATCGAAAAACATTTTATTGATGATCAATCGGCAGCTATTTCTGACGAAGAA